CTGCGCACGCGCTCGCTGGCGGCCGGGCCCCGCGCGCGTGCGCGGGCGCCTTTGGGGGGCGCTGGCACCGTGCCTCCGCGTCCCCGCGTCCCCGCGTCCCCGCGCCGTCCCGCCTCCTCCTCATCCCTCCCATGCTTCCTCCCTCCTCCTGCTCCGATCTCCGTCACTTCTCGTCATCCCCCCCCCTCGTCCACTTGTTCGTCCTGGTCACCTTGCTCGTGGAAGATCTCATCGCCCTCATCGCCGCTGTCATCGCACTCCTCCGTGTCCCGAACCTGCTGCGATTGCTGCTCCTCCTCGTCATCGCCATGGTCGCGTCCTCTCCCCGCCGCTCCGTTTCGCCGCTTCCGCGCTTATTGCCCAGTCCATGCCGCCCGTCTCCTCTCAGGGGGAGAAGAAATTTTCAGGGGACAGGTGACGAGGAACGCGAATCCAGGACGAACAAGTAGCACGACCAAGGTCGAAAGAACGCGGACAAAAAAACAATTTCAAACGCAAAGCTTACACTGTCAACGAACACGACGCGCTTCATTCGCGCACCCATGTGTTCACCCACTCGAGGACCCATTTGTTCACTCGTAAACGACTCGTTTGACTCCCACGAAAAGTTGGACATGCAAGAGTGACCTCTGGTGCGCGGCTTTCGGGGCCACGGGGAGGCCAAAACTGAGCTTGCAAGCCGCCGCTATCGCATCGCGTTCGGTCATCGGGGGACCCCAGTGCGCCCGCACCGAAGGGCACTTCCGACGAAGGGTCACTCCTACGTGTGGCCGATCATCCTCCTCGTCCTTCCCATTCTCCTCCTCTTCCTTAGCCACTCCCCTCGGGTAACGGAGTCCCGGGCTTTTGACAGCCAACTTAGGCGTGGCATTGAGGTCATGAGGAAGCGGTCGTCCCCAACGTCGCCAGAATCAGCGCTGGGACCAGAGCGCGGGGACCCGTGCGAACGAGCCATGCAATAAGGTGCGAGCCACCACCATCAGCTCGAACGCTTGGGTCAATTCGTGCGAGAGCCCCCAAAAAAGGATGCGGACATTCTCGGCTACGGCATTGCGGAAGGCGAAGCTAGATCCCGATGTCATCAACTACAGCGCTGGGTACAGCGTGTGCGAGTAGTGCGAGCAGTGACAGCAGGCGATGTCGCTACTCAACGAGAGGTGGAAGGCAAAGCTAAAGCCCGATGTCAGCAGCCACAGCGCTGGGACCAATGCGCGCGAGAAGGCCGAGCTACTCTGCGAGAAGCGGGAGGCGAAGCTCGAGCTCGAGCTCGTCAGCAACAGGGCTCAGCACGGCGTGTGCGAGCAGGGCGTGCCGCGGCTGCAGGCTCTCTCGCTCCCCGACGAGAGTTCGAAGGCGAGGCCAGAGCCCGATGTCATCAGCTACAGCGCTGGGACCACGGAGTGCGAGAAGGGCGAGCAGCGCCAGTCGGCCCCCATGCCACTGTGCGAGAAGTGGCAGGCGAAGCTGGAGCCAGAGCTCAGCCCCGGCAGGGCTGAGCTCAGCTGTGTGCGAGCAGGGTGAGCTGCGGCAGGTTCGGAGGCTACTCCACGAAAGGCGGAATACGAACCCAGCGCCCGAGGCCATCAGCTACAGCGCGGGGATCAGGGCGCACCAGAAAATCAAACAGCAAGCGAGCGACGATCAACAACGGGTCTTACGCGAGATGACGTATCGATCTCACGCGGTCGCTCACGCGGACGTTTACGCGGGCCGCCCGAGCGGCACGCTGCCTGGGAGAAGAGGGCGCTCACGCGCGACCTCACGCGGGCAGCTTACGCGCAATGTCGGTGCAGACGACTCTTTTTCTTGCGTCGCTCCAGTGTTTGGTGGTCGGGAGAGACACCCCTCAGATACAGAGAAAACACGTAGCACCCCGCAGTCGCGGATAAGAGTGAGGGGGCGGCGGAGGCGTCGGCAATCTGCGAGGCTCTGGAGAACCCCGCCGCAATCGACATTTGTTCTCTTATGGTTCTGACAAAGTATACGAATATCCCGCCGCAAGCGCCGATTTTTCGTTAACACTGTGGGCGGGTCGTGGAAAGGGTCGCAAATGGGTCGAGGGTGGGTCGCGGGTAGGTCTCGGGTGGGTCGCGGGCTGGGTCGCTTCTGGGTCGTGGGTGGGTCGCGGTCGGGTCGCGGGTGGGTCGCGGGTGGATCGCAGGTGGATCGCAGGCGGGTCGCGGGGCGGGTCGCGGGTGGGCCGCGGGACGAACAACAAACGATCACAAGAACAACAATAAGTTTAAGACTGTTCGCCTTTTCTACTCGAGTGCCCAATAACACGTATTTCCCACACCCTCGATACCCGCCCTCTTCGTCTTCGATCGAACCCCTTTTGTGGAGTATACCTTTCTTCCCTGCATGCCGGGCCCCCGCAAGCGGCGGGGCGGCCGCGGACCGTCGGCCTGGCCAGCGGCAGCGCTGATCGGCGGGGCGGCCGCGGACCGTCGACCCGACCCCAAGAGGGACGGACAGGGGACCGACCACGACGACGACGACGTCGACGACGACGGCGACGACGACGGCGACGACGACGACGAGCGAAAGCGAGAGCGAGAGAGAACGACAGCAGGGCCGCAAGGACACGAAGCAGGCCACGAAGGGCGACAGTGGGGACACGAAGGGAACGCGTATGCGGCCACGAAGAGCGCGAACGAGCGGGGGGCCACGAAGGGCAGATAATGCGGGGTCACAGAAGGCAGCGATGGGGCCACTGAGGGAAGCAGCTGGGCCACGTAGGACAGTGAGGGGGCCACAAACGACGACAGAGGGGCCACGAAGGGCACGCATATGGGGCCACAACGGGCGCGAACGAGCGGAGGCCACGAAGGGCATACGTATACTGGGCCGCGGAGGGCAAGGACGGGGCCACTGAGGGCAGCAACGGGGCCACGAAGGGCAGCGAGGGGGCCACGAAGGGCGACAGCGGGGCCACGAAGGGCATACTTTGGGGCCACCAGGGTCGCGAACGAGCGGGGGCCACGAAGGGCATACATATGTGGGGCCACGAAAGGCAACAAGGGGGCCACGAAGTGATGCAACGGGGCAACGAAGGGCACAGAGGGGGCCACGAAGGGCTGCAACGGGGCCACGAAGGGCTGCAACTGGGCCACGAATGGCAGCGAGGGGGCCACGAAGGGCTGCAACGGGGCCACGAAACAAAGCGAGGGGGCCACGAAGGGCTGCAACGGGGCCACGAAACAAAACGAGGAAACCACGAGGGGCTGCAACGGGGCCACGAAGGGCAGCGAGGGGTCCACGAAGGGCTGCAACGGGGCCACGAAACAAAGCGAGGGGCCCACGGAAGGGCTGCAACGGGGCCACGAAGGGCAGCGAGATCCCGATTCCCGAAACATCTGTGAAGGAGTCCTAAGCGTGAGCGCAATTCCTGGGAGCCTGGGTGTCGGGACCGCGGCGCTTGACGAAATTGCAATAAGTTCCAACGCAAGGGCGCTATTCTTCAGTAAATCGCAAGCAAGTCTCCAGCGAAAACGCGACTCCAGAGCGCCGGGAGAGCGACTCCTGAATAAATTGCAAGGAAGTCCCCAGCGAAAACAATATTCCTGAATCAAATGCGAGGGAGTCTCGGGCGGGAGCGGGGGTCATGGCTAAATTATGAGGACGTCGCGGGCGGATGCCGTTGTTGTTGTTGTTGTTGTTGTTGTTGTAAACCGGAGGCCAACAACGCAGTTTGACACTCAAAACTTTCCCTGTAAAAAACAGGGTGCGAGCCCCGGGAAGGCTACTTCAATCAGCGAAGCAATGTGCACCGGACGTGGGGGATCAACAATAATTCTCTTCAGAAATGAGAAACCAACAACAACAACAACAACAACAACACGAGCAAGACTGAGTCCTTCACAGGGGCCCCGTGCGCTGGGGCCCTGGCTTCCGACTCCGCCACAAGGGCGGAATCCTGCACTGGGGCCCCGTCGCCCCAGCAGCACCCCCCCCACACGCACGCACAACAGCAACAGCACTACTGCCAGGAGACAATAAAAGGAGAAAATGCGAAAGTCAGACTAGACCACTCGTGACCCGAAGGCTAAACCATGTGAGTTTCCCCGCAGCGCTCGCTGTTACGATCCATGTAGGCAAAAGTCCACGTGTAGTATAATGCTATTAGAAGGCGCTCCCGCTCTAATAGAAACGCTTTGGGGATGGATTCGTTTCTAATAGCAACCGGTCAGAGCTGGATGTACATTCGATACAACTCTAAGAAATATGGATCCAAGTATGATGCGATCCTATCCCAGATAAGTTCGCCTCAGTTAGAAAAATCATTGTGGGGTTGGGTCCAGCTCTGCGACTATCCTCTACGAGACGAGTCTGCCTGTAATACAATCCTATGGGACACAGGTTCAGCTCTAAGGAATCCTATGCGAGATGGGTCCAACTCTTCTACGAGTGTATTGGCCATGTGCGCCAGTGTGATCTAATCACATGATGAAAATATCCTGTTCAACTCTGATCCCATCAGCGACGGGTCCAGTTCTGCTACGATCCGAATCGACATGGGCCCATGCTGTGAGCCTCCTAGGACGAATGACATATAATACACTCCGAATGGAACTGGATCCAGCTCTACTACGATCCTCTCTGGGATGGATCGGACTCTAACAGAATCGCAGTAGAAATGGAAGTCCTTATGAAAGCATCTTGCAGAACTGGATCCACCTCTCGTAGAAAACGATTAGACATGGCTTCTGCTTGAAAGCATCCTGGTAAGAGGTGGATCCAGTGAAACAATCATCCTATTAGAGATGGATCCAGCCCTACTGCGAACATATGGGATATAGACCCAACTCTACTGCGATCCTATGATTCATGGAGTCGGATCGGCCGGAATGCATTTTTACAAAAAACGAGTATTCAAATCCTACCAGAGACCTATAAAGCTGGATCTAGCTATAACGCGATCCGAATAGGCATGTTTGCAGCTCTGAAATGAATCTGGTTGCACATTGATTCGGCTTGAGGATCCTTTAATAGCTGGGATC